AAAAAAAAAAAAAAAAAAAAAAAAAAAAAAAAAAAAACCGAAAAAAAACTATGTTATGCAGAAAAATAAATCGAACAACTTTTGCCTCAGGGTCACATCGAAATTCTTTACTGAATTGAAAAAAAAATGAAATATAAAAATATTTTATTTTTATTTTTATTTTTTTAGTTTTTTGCCCCGGCCGGGCAATTGACCCCGGGCCACTCTGGTAGCCTAGGCACAGAGTAATTACCTCATTGGGCATTTTTTTACTTCGACGTTCCTGGGCGCAATTGCGCACACAGAGTAATTACCCCTTGGGCATTTTTTTTACTTCGACGTTCCTGGGCGCAATTGCGCACTGAGTAATTACCGCATTGGGCATTTTTTTAACTTCGACGTTCCTGGGCGCAATTGCGACGTTCTTTTGGACCGTAATCGTCAGGGCTTACTGGGTTCCCGCCAGGAGGACCTGACGATTTGGGTGAAAAAAATGCCGAGATTGAGCACAGCCAAGAACCTCAAAATTGAATGCTCGAAGGAGTAATTGGGCCTCGCTCGACTACTCACCAAACGTACAAAAGACAAAAAAAAAGGCGATGGTGTAAGATTCATTCTCATTTTGCACATTTGCTGAGTACTGGATCGAGGACCATTGTATGCATGTAAAGCGATGGTTTCAGCATCAACGATCGAAGGATCTGTGGAATGCGCAACTGCAGCCAGGAAATTCAGAAGCGGGAGCGAAGTCACTCAATGACAGCGGATGACTTATAAGCTCTTGAGAGGGCGTCATCATAGATTGACTTGACGTCATTGGATCATGATGTCATGATCATCTCATGTACTCGGCATAAATCAATAATTACGTAATATGGGAGAGGGTTCTGGTCCTATTCTTTCTCTGTCCCTCGTCCCTCGTCCCTCGTCCCTCGTTTTATTCAACTTCATGTGATGTTCATCAATGGTCTCCGGGGTCGATATCCATTTTTCCCTCTTGAGTGTTTCCTTAGTGCTACCTCCCGTCGTGTCTATGTGTGTGTGTGTGTGTGTGTGTGTGTGTGTGTGTGTGTGTGTGTGTGTGTGTGAGAGAGAGAGAGAGAGAGAGAGGTGAAGGCAAAAATCAGAACAAGGTCGAGTTAACGCCGTTTGAAGTCACTCGTGCTTGCTTAATTCTTTTATATCAATATATTGCTCTCGCGTGGTCATGCTCCGTCAACACTGGCCCGTGGATGGACTTGTTACATTCGAGCTCGCCAGCGTCGACATCCAATACATGTAACTCGCCTTACACAATGGTTTCGACGTATGCTCCGCTGGTCCGTGCACCATCCTCTTCCACCCTCTCCTCCCCTTTCCTCCCCTTCTCCTTCTCCCATTCCCCCTTCTTCTCCCCCTCCGCCTCC